GACCACAACGCTAACAACTAAAAAAACCTCAATCAAATTCACCAAAGACAAAGAAAATGCAGAGGCAGCGGCAACAGAAGAGATGGAAGTGCTGGGAACGAAGCAGAACGCAGTCAAATTACAGCCGACAACGACAAAGCCACCACTGAGCACACGCGAAACTACGCCAACTCGATCAAGTGCTCGTCGTCAAACTGAAATAGTCTCCAGCACAGCAGCGCCGACATCAACCATTTTTGCACCTGGTTAGCACTTCTTTGTATCACTACAGCCAGGGTAGTGGACAAGGCCTTTCCTTGCACTTATCAAACTTTACAACTCACTAACTGTCATACTTATAAGCTGAAACCTCTAAAGATGCGGGCAACGAAAGGGCTGCCCTGCCACTTCAGAATTAATGATTGAAAGCAGCGACACACGTATGTAAAATGAAATACGGAAAATAACAAAATAGAGAAGCGATGACCGAGATGGAGTAAAGTATTCTTACTTCGAAGAAACAAACTAGATGCTCTGTCAAATGCATAGCACTATTGTAACTACGAAAGGTTGGCCGGTTTGTTGTTGAATTTACTGGAAATTCCTGATTTTCGGCTACTAAAGTGGTCTTCGCAGAAAAAGTGCAAGTAGCGACGGGTAGAACATCCGAATGGCTCGAAAAATCATGCGCCAATTCCAGAAGGGAGATGTACATCACAAAAAATCACACTGCACCTGATACACTAAAATTCCAGTTAATTTTCATGGGAATTCATTACAAAGAAAGTTAAGACTGCACGAGCAGTTGATGCGGGTATCCCATGTTAGTGCTGGTATAGAAATGCTCTCACATGTCAGGCGAAGCTGTGCAAGCTCCCATACCACTGGCTGGTATCTACCACCGGGCACTGTGTTAAATTTTCAGAATGAGAATGAAATTCAGCAATCATTGATGTTAATATTTATTAATATCGTTAATTACTTTTTATTATTATTAATGTCATTAATGAAATTCAATCACTAGTACTTATTAATGGAAGCAGTCATAATGTTTGCTTTTCCAAACAAATATAAAGAATTTTTTGAAACTGTTCCCCTCCATCCAAGTTTGTATAGCTGCACTACGGGTTTTGCTCTGTTATTCGTCGGCTTAGGAGCTTGAAATCCCGTTTACTGTTTTAACGCTAACAACGAGAAAACAGAACAAGCCCTGTATCTTGAGGCCCCCCCCCCCTACTCGTCGGATTAATGAGTGGACCCCGCAGTGCTGATGGGTTGTAGTGCAAAATCGGGTTTGAGCGTTATTTTTGGCAGCGAAATTCCCATTAAGTCGTGAACTAAAACGAATATTTTTGTCAGGATGTGAAATTGACGCAGTTCTGATCATTGATTCGTCTGGCTCTGTGGAGGAGACATTTAGTCGTGAGAAGGAGCTGGCTGCCGGAATCATTCATCGACTTCGTATTGGCCCAAACAATGCCCGCGTTGCAATCATCAAATTTGCGGCCAAGGAAAAAGTAAAGACCGTTTGGTCGTTTGATCAGCCACAAGTGCGGGAAAAGGTGCTGGAGGCGCTGGATGGAATCACATTTAGTAGTGGCACAACTGCTATTCACTCCGCATTGTTACAGGTCTGTACTGCCGCTCTGCTGCTCGATTATTGTGCTCTGTTGTTTGTTGCCTAAATTAACTGGGAGATGTCGGCTCTTGTTGAAAACAAAAAAAAAAGTTCACAAGCTCCAAAGTAAAATTTAAAATGGATTGAGAAACAAGTATAGCAATACTAATTTTGCTACACTTGTTATGCGTTTTTGCGATAAGGTTTTGGGGTCTTGCAGTAGGTGAGCGATACTAATCTCCTTTTTGGGATACCCCGATGATTTGTGGACCATCTGTCGAGTGATACTTATTCACAGTTAAAGCTCTGGGAAATCACACCGCATGCCCCGAACGGGGCTAGCATTTTTTTGTAGTTTCTAAGTTAAAAATGTGGCAAGATAGACAGGCATGCATACTTGCATACGAGTTTGCGCACACAAGAGGGCGAGTAAGCAAGATCTTACTTTGATGTGTCTTTGTGTTGCATTAGGGACTTTAAAATGCAAAAAAGCAAAATATGCGAAGAGAGTTCCTATTTTCCCGCAAATTGTTGAACACAACTCGTTATACACTAATTTTTTTTTGCATGCACCGGTTTGGGCCTAGTTTGATACTTTGAAACGTTTCTAGGCGGATCCCTGCAAAATTGTTTTTTTTTTTTGTTTTGTGCAAATAAAATTTTTCTGACCCCGACGGCATCAAAGATCAAACACCA